ATCATTATAAGCACAACCTTCATGTTTTACAACTTTTTCAATTTATGGGTGAAGTTCTGTTAACTGCTGATTTTTTTTTTCATTTCCTTTTATCTATATTTTGTGTTCTCCTTTTATCTATATTTTATGTTCTATGATCTGGAAGAAGTTATTTTCCTCCTTCCCAATAATTACAATTACTACTGCTACTCTTTCTAATATTTATTTGAAAGAACAGTATTTAAATCACCTCATGGTTTTTATGTTGTAATTTTAACATTTTATGGAAATCAAAATTAGAAACCTTTTTAGATAAATAAAAATGGACTGTTGCATATAAACAAATATGCTTCTTCTTACTTTCCTGAGAGAGAAAAGAGCAAATGCTACGCTTTAATCATATGAACTCAAAAGCAATAGACAAAGGAACAAAATTTTGGAGAGCAGATAAACAACTAAAAAAAGTCTTTTTTCTTCACTTTTTTAAAATACCATTTATGTTTTTCTCTTCATTTGATTAACATGTTTAGATAAAACAAAATTAATAATAACAGTTAATTGCAATATTATAAATTATTTCCATCTAAGTACATATATATATTCTTGCAAACCTTGAAATTCATTTAAAATCTACTGACTAAACTAAAAGGCTTGCTTTTATTCAGTTTCCAGCACTGCTTATTTCTAGTTTTCTATTAGATACAATAGGATGTATAGCATAGAAATTGTTTTTGCAGAAAAATGAAAAACAATATAGAATATATTGTTTATTAAAAATAAACAATAATCCATGTTTGTAAGACTTGACATCAGAAAAATTTTAAAGCAAAACCTGTGTATTTTTGCCATGTTCTTTGTATGAATATAAAAATTGAGTGGGTGTATTCTCTATACACTTGTATGCATGCATGCATTTGTTTTGCATATCTATTCAACTTCTTCTATGAATGAGTGGATATGTATGTATATGCATTATTTCTGTTTGTTCCTATCTATGAATTGAGCATGTCTATTGATATGAATACATTTTTTTCTCAGATTTGCTTTGCCTCTTGAAATTTTGAAGATTTTTTTTTACATTTTAAATATTCTATTTCAGTCTCTTATGACTTCTGCTGGAATATATAATTTATTTACAACGCTCTTTATTATTTATTAGATTTTTGAGCTTTGCTGATCATTAGTCTAAATTAATCTTTTGTGATTTATCTCTTATCTGTCATAAAATTTCTATATATGTTGATAAAAAAAGATTTATGGAATTATGATCACAGAAATCAATCACATTTTGTCAATATAAAAGTATCATAATCAAATAGTTACCAGTAGCTTATATGACCCAATATGCAGTTTGATAATAAATTAACTTCATCAGTGACTTATTGATAAACTTCAAGTTTGTGTAATCCCTTTCTAAAAAAAAAAAAAGAATGCATGAATTAATTGTAAACGAAATCATTAAATATTTAAGAAATTACTCTTCTTCATAATTAGTATAGGTTTTTGAAAAATCATGATTTTCTTTCACCTGCAGGACTCAAGATTAATCAGATTGCAATTAAAACTAGATTATCACCTTTCAAGAATTACTGCTTCATTTATCTCTTGCTGATTTAATTCTGAATCATTAATAAATCCTAGAAGCTATTTATTGAACAGGTTATGAATTAATGATCTGGAGAATTATTAGAAGAATTAAATTATTACTTCTAGGCACCAGATTTTGCCTTATTAAAAAAAAATTCAATCATTTTCTATATTTGATTTCAAACAACTAATTTCTCATTATTCTATATCAACTTTGTATAAAATTCTTTGCTATTAATTCATTATTGCTCTGAAAATATTTACAGATTTTAATCTTGATTTACTCTTTAGTCTTAGATTAATGCAAAATAAATTGAACTGATTCATAAAGGTAGTGGTGCTGCACTTCAGCTGTAAACGCAATATACAGTAAAAAATACAATTTTCATCTTAGGTATGCTTCATGACAACAGCAGCCAACAATTTTATTCCACAATCAAGGTTTATTAGATTGTTTCGTAAAATATGTTAGACATATTTTCCTACAATATAATGTAATTTTGTCACTGTAGAAATAACTTTGTACTTCCAGATATAAATTTCATAATTTTCTGTCTAGACAAGTTCAATAGTCATAACATAGGTTCATCGATATAATATCACATTTCATTCTTAGTGAGTTTATTATGGAAACAAACTACATAACTAATAATATTCAGACTTTCAGCTACAAATGTTTTATGTACTATATTATACATTCATGTTGAAAAACTACCGAATTAGTTGTACTCAACAGTAGATCATTTAAAAATAAGGTTTTATAAAAATTCCTACTGAACTTTCATCAGATAACTGGAAGTTAATGCATTCAAAAGAATTTCTTTCAATAAACCAACAATGAGTTTGATATGTCTTATCAGTAAATCTCCAAAAGATTAAATTTAATAGTGAATCAGTGATCAGATTAGTCTTAAATAATTTTTTCATTTAATTTTTTTAAATCAATGAACTTTGTTCATTTTCTGTCAGAAAACTCGGTATTACAAAATTTGATTAAAGTCCAGTTTAAGATACTATTTTATTTGAAGAATATTAGATTCCAAAACTGAAGAATTCATGTTAAACCTGTTTCAACTGCATTTAACAAAGATTCTCACAAATGGAAGAGTCAGCAGTTTTACTATTTTTTCTCTAATCTCTTAAAATGCTTTTAGATACTATTGAGCTTATAATATCCAAAAGCTATCATCAACCGATTTGAATTTAGTTCAAGCAATGACACTTTTTTAGAGTTTATATTTGCATGAGTATTGTGGTCCTATCTAGGACAAATTTCTGAAGATATTAGACTCCCACTCCTCAGCTTAATGGATGTGTTCTAAGCAATGGCAGTAGCTTGTCTCCCTTCCTGTCAAAGTGAATTTAACCTTTACACATTATTTAAGTTTATAGAAATTTCTGCTCAGGGTGAAATTTTCTATTTTTTGGTGTTGTCACTCAGTTTATTGATTAAGATCCTGTTTTAACAGATATATTTGCAAAAATCAATCAATTTAGATTAGTTATTTATGTACATTGACATTTTATTTTCAATAATTAAATTCAAACACAATTTGACAAAATGAATTCTTTTTTGAAGCAACTTTCCTTTAAAATTGGAAATAGAGACTGCCCCAGTGAAATAAAATTGGCAAACATTTCCATCTGATCATTTTTAAGGATAACATAGATAACTATCAAAATCTGTAGACTTCCATTAAATTTGAGTTAATTTATCTTCTGAAAGATCATATAAAGCATCTTCTGAGATTACTGTCATGCAAGATTGTTTCATACAGTGGCTATAGTATTTTGTGTATTTATTTGTACCAAAAATCTCAAAAAAAAAGAGTCCAATAAATATCTATTTATATTTTGTGGTGTTCCATACTGAAGACATTTTGGATTTTGCACCTTTTCACTTTCATTAGTTTTACTATCTTAAATTAGTCTGTCCTGAGTTTTATATTTCAAGTTGTCTGTTATTTGATGTCAACTGGACTATCTTATCTGTTAATTGGAAATATGCATACCCCTAAATACTGATATTTATGGTTATGCAGAAAGGCAAATCAGTTTAGCCTGTTGTATTCTCTTTTACATTAATGCCCTTCTGAAAGGACTTAATCAAACTCTTCATGTTCCAGCAATGGGTTAAATAGCAAGGTAGAATTGTCTCTCTAGGCTTGGGCAGTAGCCAGTCTAGGAGAAGGATTACTATGAATTCAAAAACTGTGGAGAAGGCATAGAAACCACTCCACTGTCTTTCCTAATTTGTCAGAGCCATTCACTAATAATAAAGACAAAACATATGGAGAGCTATGATTGCATACTTCCTGATGAAACATGGCATTTTTAAAAAAATCAGTATTTTAACAGAATATGCAATTACATATAAAACACTTTTCTGAAAATTCTCTCTCTGACCTAAGCTTTTTGTTGGCTATGAACAAATAAGTGGTGAACAAAATTATTTTCTCTAGTCTTCACTCTCTTTTTATTTCAAAGAGAAGTGTAATTTTTTTTATTTACAACCTTATTATCTTTAAAAGAATGTTGATGATATATTCATCTGGCAAGCTGCTGAAGATTAAAAATAAAACAGTTATTTTAAAGGAAAAGGATAAACAAATATGTTTTGTTTTCCAATAGAAAAGGTGTGTTGAAAAAAATTGCATTTAGCCAACTTCTTTATGAACCATTATGTATCTGTTTTTCTGCTTCCTCATGAACATCATTATTTTTAAAAAATTTCTATCTGAATTTCTGGGAGTTACCATTATTTACATTCAAACTAACATGATAACAACAAAGATAAGGTCATTAGACTGAATGTAAACAATGTAAATTACAGCATTATTTTTTTAGTTAAGTATTCATTTAATTAGCCACTCTATTTTCAATTTATTATTTTATTGTAAAGTATATATGAAATATACTGCAGGAAATATTGCTTAGTTTTGCTTAATTTTAAATGAAAATTAACAATGCTTAGCCTTAGTAATTGCAGTGATTCCACAATCATTTGAACTGAACTTAAATTAGCTAACAAATGTACTCTTTTACATCAATTTTTCAAGATTATTTTATGGATCACTAGACTAGTTAATTTCTAACCTCCAAGAATAACTGTCACTCTGCAACTGTTCTTTTCTACAAACCTTTTTTCATCAAGTTATCATATTGTTTTAATGGAATAAAATTGACACTTAGTACAACAGGTGATTCTGCAGAACCTCAGTAACCATATCTTAATTCCATTCTTGCATAGATTTCTATTTAAATGTATTTTGTAGGAGGCTTGATTATTTCATTTGCACAATTGGACGTTCGGTTTTACTCTTTTATTTTTTTTATTTTTGTATTTGCAGGAAGAAGGCCAATCACCAACTTTAGGAAACTCCCAAGAACCCTTTATTACATCTGAAAGGATTGAGAGTAACCCAGGCCAAAAAATGGCATCCACACAAGCAGGAGGAACAACTTCATCAACAGCTAGTGCTGCAGCATCTGGTATGTATGGTGACGGTGCTGCAGCCAACTGCATCCATCAAGACCAAATGAACGCACTTAGCTGCAGCATGGATCCCCGATCTGCCTCCCCAGCACTGCCACCTCCACCCCCACTGCCACCCAGTTTCCCAGGCATTTATGAAGGGACCTCTGAAGAGGATGAATTCCCATTACCTCCACCCATAATGGAGGACAGTGGCAGCAGCAGAGGTGGTGGTGACACTTCAAGTGGTCCTCCACAACCACCCCCACCCCCACCCCCACCCCTGGAAGTGTTCAATGCCATCATTGTAGGTGGCAGCAGCAGTCCGCTGCGTCGTGGGAGTGGTGCCAGCAGCAGTGCCAGCACCAACAGTGCACAGTTCACACCACCACCTCCTCCTCCACCATTGTCCTCTTCACCTCCTCCACCACCACCCCCTCCGTCCCTCCTCCAACCGGACAACAGTACTAACTCAATCTACTGGAGGGATACTTCTGAAGGGTCACCATCACCTGCTGCTTGTGTTACTAGCGCCTCTACCCCTACTACCGTTGATGCATCCACTAATCGGACTCCAACGCCCCCACCTAGTCCCCAAGCTGCTACTACCTATTCTACTACTTCCACCTCTACTAGCACTACTCCTCCTACTACCAAGCATGTTACTACTACTACAACTCAAACAACCTGTGCTGACAAGTCGATCCAGGCTACTTTACCTGATCCACATTATTCTGCTGAAATCTATATGCAATCTGCATTTTGTCCCATTGCAGCTCTTTCCATGGAGAGTCCACCACCCCCACCACCGCCGCCTCCACTAATGGTTAATGGCATCGCACCTTCACCTCCTCTGCCACCTCCACCACAGCCCCCATCAGCACCATCAGAAGGACCAGAACAGAGAACCCTTATTAACGGCAGCTTTGTTGGAGATGGACAAATACAGGACTCTACAGACGAAGAGAGTCGACGGCATCAGATGTCATCTAGCAATGGTATTATACAAAATGAAAAAGTTGTTGAGCAGTCAAAGATGGACCTGCCAAATTTGCCTCTGAATGGCATGGCTGAGTCTGCTAAGCATTTAATGTCAAATGATGTCCATGATAGTAAAATAAGAGATAGTTCCAAAGAAGCAAACCGACGGTCACAACATTCTGGAGATATGTCCCCAGAAATGATTGAGAGTTATACAAGCACTGGTTCCACTGAACAAGATCAAGTCTACTATGACATTGTGGAATATGCTGAAAAACATTTCAATGATCATATTAAGGAGTCTGCTGGTACTGTTATGAAGTCTTTAAAAAAGAGAAAGTCCATGCAGGTAAGAAATTTTACTTTTTATGGTGAACGCTTTCTGTTTTTTTTTATAACAGTAGAAAATTTCACTATACAATATTTTTATTTATTTTTTTTTTAGAGTAGGATTTGATTTCTACATCTGACCAAAAAACTGTTGATATTTTCGTACCTCTTCTTATTAACAATAGAATAATGAACAGGCACTTAAAATTCTTATGGCTGCTATACTAATTTACATAGCAGTGGTGATCTTTCAATTTACATATAATTGCAGTAATAGCCTTTAAAAGACATGCAAATCTTAGTGAAGATTTAAGTGGTTTGCATTAAATTAAAAGAAATTTGAACAGCCAAAATAAAATATTTGCATTGTAATTTGTGTAAGTCATATTATTGGTTTATGATATAAAGGAATATTAAAATTATTTTGACAGTAATCTGAAGAAAGAAAATGCATTAAAAAATTTACATGCCTAATTCTTTAAAGATATGGATAAGTACCTACTGACTGATAATTTCCTACTGCTTAGAACCTTAAACTCCACTAACCCTTTTTGGTGAAATTCTCTGAGATAGACAGTAGACTGATAAACTCATGTTGTAATATATCTCTTTTAATACAATAATTAATCCAGCATCATTGAATTGTGATTTTTGCCAGCTCCCAGTTTGGTCAAATGTATACAGTAGATTATCATCTAATCCTATAAAATACCCTATAACTCTAATAATAAAGCTGAAAGCCTATTTTTTAAATGCCATATCCCTTCATGGCATAGTCATATGGGTTTTCACAGATTCCTTTTCTTTGTTATCTGTAAACTGCCATAATTTCAAGTAAATGAAAGTTGAGTGGTTTCCTGCTGCCATCTGCACTGTTTTAACTTTGGAATTGTTCTTCTCTTAGAATAGCTTCCAAGCAGGTCTAGAGAACACAGTCTACTTTGATATTTAACTCATAGCTGAGTGTAGAAGATATTGATTCATGTCTTTGCTAAGGGCATGAAATTGAACACAGTATAGTAGGCTGGAATTTGAACTCGACTCAATAATTTTGCTTTCTGTGCCAAAAATGTTGGCTGCAAATTTTATCTTTTATTTATTCTGATGATAATGAGAGAACAGATTATGACATGAAATTAAGTGGTTGGATTAGCAATGACCAGCTTTTATCTGATAGGTAAGATATATTCGATTCCAGTCGAATCCATTACATTCACGGTTAGCAGTTTTTATTCAAGTTATCTTTTGCCAACAATGATTGTATTTGCAATGTTACTTTTAGCATGAAAACAATGTTAAGTCTCCAGTTGAAGCTATAAAACATAAAATTTATTATTGCCTATGTTGGCTATTATAAAGTTGGCATTTGAGGACAGGTTTTGTAACTGATTTCTGGTCGTCAACATGTTAAAAATTTAAATAATGAATAACAAAAATTGAAAAGAATAGATTCTTTGTACAGTAGTTTTAGGAATTATGGAACAGTAGCATAGAAGATGAAAATTTTAATTCTCATGGACACTTTGTATTGATCCTTGAAACTATAAGTTTAATACTCCCAAAGATGAGAATGCTGATTCATATAATTTATGGAATAATAGCTATAATTAATTTCAGGCAGTGCTGGATAAATGCTTGTCTTAATCTGTTAGAAATTTTGATTATTCAGGAGTCAGTTACTTTTTACACACAATTCATGAGAAGGCATTTGATACTGCTTATTCTTTTACACATCTTCCACTAAAGAATAAATCATGATATTAAAAACTGATATTGTATTGTTTTTATTATGCAAAATGTTTCTTCTAGCAAACCAAAGAAAAAAAAGAGTGAAATTTAGAGACTAATTAATTTCTCTTTACACAGTAGGTGCTGTTGGTCATCTACATTGTCATGGACAACTCACTGATGATTAGATTATCTCAACTTGCTGTAATAAATAAGATTATGTAACAAGTTTAATGGAGCAATTTCAGTGGATAATCTGAGATTTGCTACTAGAGACTAATTACTGATGATAAAGATTATGTACACCTTCCTTATGAATAAAGTTACCACACATTATCCAAGTTAAAATTGCTTCAAGTATCATCATAAAATTTTCAAGGGTAGTTACTGCAATCCACATTTAATTGGCTATATAGAAAAGAATAGATAATACTCTTACATTCATTACCATTACCAGTCCTTAAAAATTCAAAACTAGCTATTTTGATTAAATGGTTTTACTTTCATTTGATAATTTTTTTTATTTTGTTTATGAGGATCTAATACTCTGTGCATTAGATAAATTCCATCATAAGAATACAACTTCTTATATAATATATATTTAATATATTTTGCAAAATTATATTTACTAATGAAGGGAAAATAGTCAGAGCACAAACTATTTTAGTTCAATAAATTGTATCACTCTTTCTACTCTCAAAGGAATTATTTATTTTTTATTAAATGATTTAAAAACAATGTCATCTTATGCTTTATATAAACAATTCATAACAATGAGATTGTATTTTTGACATTCACTAGGAAATATACACTACTTTATTAATTTTGTCTTACTGCTATTAATTTATTATTTGTTTCTGTTATTCTTAATACAACATAGATTTTTGCCTGTTCCCTGTTTTCAAAAAAACAAAACTGGTAATTGTATGAAGTTTTTCATTCATTTAAAAGGTTATTTAAACTATTTTTAAACTCATTTTACATTGACTCCTAGCTATCACCAGAATTTAATGCTTAGCTTTTATATCTGAATATAGTGAATGTAAAAATACACATCTGTTGAGTATGAGTGATTAAAAGGACAATAAAAAATTATACCACATCTGACAAAGTATTTTTAATCTGGTCAGAATCCAATTAATATTCTACTTGTTGAATTAAAGTCAATAAGTATCACCTGTTGGTGATAAATTGAGAAATCACTTCTCCATAGATGTGATATGATAATTGTCACTATACAATCAAATGCAATCTTTTTTTAAATAAATCAGTTAAAACTAAATGCTACAAATGCCATTTAATTATGAACACATAACAAACATTTTAGTCAGCAAAATAATTCCTTATATTTACTTAAAACTTCCTTTTGGTAAGTCATTTTTTACAGAAATAATGTTTTCAGATAAAGAGAGCTGTTATACTATCTTTATTTCAAGGATAGATTGTTAGTACAAAGAGGAATCACAGCTTGCAAGAAACTGAATTCCCCTAACCATTTTTCCAAGTATTCTAACCAAACTGAAAAAGAAAGATATATTGCTCTTCAGTTAATAAATAATTCATCAAAGTCTTTTGTGGAGATGATTCCATTTTCATAATTAGAATTTATAATTTACAGATTAATGTCCTGTTAGTATTACAATTTTTTGACTATTTAGTGTTTTAACTATCTAGTGTTTTTCAGGTGTTTATTGATCTGGGTAACCTTTAGGGAATTTTGAGCTGAATCTTTTATTGTTCTCATTCTGCTGTCCATGAAATTTTATCATAATTGTTCTTTTGGTATTACTTAATTATTTTTGGTCCTGTTTCCACTGAGCCAAGGTTTTTCTCTGTTATCTGACCCATGGATTGAACTCATAATTAATATGCCACTAAATTAACTAACCAATGCTTTAATCCACTAGATTGTCTCTATTGTCTCAAAGCTAGGTTTTAGAACTTTAAAATTGATGTTGTTCTTGCAGCCTTGTTATGAAGTTTGGCTTCCTACACTTCCATATATTTTTTTATTACTTTCCTTTGCCATTGCTGTCTTTTTGGTATGCTTTATTAGTTGCTAGTATTTTTGGTGCATGATGTTCTTTTTTTCTTAATGGTATTTATATTTCAGACTCAGTGGAAACAAGACTAAAATGACAATTAACCAAGATAAAAATATCTCTAAACATGGACATTCTACACCTGTAGATTAAATAAAAGGTTCCTTGAAAGGTTATTCAAATTAACAGATAAATGAAGAAGGCCAGAAGGGTATGATAGCCAAAACATTGTGATAATAACAACAAAGATGAGGACATTAGTCCGGATGTAAATAATGATAAGTGAAAATGAATATTTAACTGAATGCTAAGCCCTTTTGAGCATATTATCTTATTGCTGTTCATAGGATCAGCATTTGCTTATGACAAACTTGCTACTGCTGCTGCTTCAATCATGTGTCTTTCACTTTTTTAATCACTCAGTTTGTCTACTACTGCTATCTTTTACACAGACATATATCATGGGAGTGAATAAGTTACCAAGTACAAACAAATATTTACTACACTTTACTATGTTTACTTTGTACATATATAATTTTCAAAAATAATGATTACTTTCACAATATAAACAAAATTTGTAAATGTTGAACACTACTTACACTGATGTGCCAAAAGAGAATGAATAGGATGCTTTATGTATTTAGTTATGCTCTTAACACTTTACTTATTTAGTTATGCTTCATAACACTTTGCTGTACTGTCAGTGCTTTCAGCTGTTGAATGTTATTTTATCTACTCAATCAGCTGGACCAACTTTCACATTCTAGGGCAGACAAATCATTATGTTGTATTCTACAATATTGGAATAGTAATAAGAGAGAAGCACTGTCCTCTCTATAATCTAATAATCACAACTAGAATATTGAGTATTATACAAGTCTGAAAGGAACATAATTTTTATTATATAAAAATGAAACACTTGCTTAATAGCTTGTTCGCTACATAGAATACCTGCTCTTAGATTTTTTTGTTTAGTATTGAGTTGTGATCTGCTTTAAATTTATTACAGAAAATTCTTATTTAAAATTACAAGATAACATCCTTTATCTCCTTTAATACAGAGTATCAGCTCTGTAAATAGTCATTACACCTACCTTTCTATTTATTGAACTTCCTCAATATGAATGTATTGATTTGTCTTTATTTCTATGTCTAACAGAAATCAAGATCTATAATTCTTAGATTGCTTCTGATATAGAATAAATGTGTTCGTTAGAAAACAATGAAATAGAATTATGATAATATGAAA